TGACCGAGCATTTCAACTCAAAACATGCTGAAACTTTACAGACCTCTTACATATGATTTATCATGATTTTTGAGCTACTAATTTCAGCCAAAATATGCTTGGAGCTAAAAATTCATTTTTAAGCCGGATTAACTTCAAAAATCCGAGTCTTTAATTCTACCCGTCTCCCACATCAAGTAATGCATTGTATAGCTATCCATTGAATCTAAAATGAAAAGGGAAGAACGGAGTAAATGAAAAAATAAAAAATAAAATAAACTATGTATAAGAAATTTGAATCAATCTTCAATTTCATTGATGATGAGTGAGAAATATAAGTTTGGATTTGGAGTTCATAAACTAAATGAGGTTGTTCTGATGTGGCTCTGTAAATATTACTTTGCAGGTGAAAATGGAAAATAAGAATTGGAAAGTTGATGTGAGTTCTCTGCTTGCAATCTTCATATGACATAATTGTTGGTTAATGTCTTTTTAGAACCACAAGTTTGTTGAGTTGTTTGATCATTTGAAGTTCTAACTTGAGCACAACTTAAATCTTTTGTTTACCAGGCTAGGAGTAGAACAATTGATGTTGAACTCACGACTTTTTCAAGCACACACTATGTTGAACTGAGCCCTAGTGATGCAGGATTTCAGGATGCTATGTGGTTCAAGAGATGATCTAGAAAATGGCTAAAAACAGACCAATCTAGAAAAATGGCACAAGAATAATGGGCCCACACCATCCCTGGATCGAGGGGAACAGGTGGACCCGGCAACCCAGAGAAAGATCAAGACCCGGACCGAGCTAGATAGGAATAAATAAGTTGAAGTTATTTTCCGCTCAATTGCTCGTTCATTGTTTTATTTTAAGTTTATTATTATAATTCTTTTTGAAAATTTAATTCTTGTGAAAATTTAGCATATCTGCACAAGACTTAGAGATTCAGGTGTTTACCTTTTTCATTATTTATTGTTTTTTAGCATATCTGCACAACATGGCGCAAACTTCGAACCCGAACGACAATCATCTAACCCTAGATAGAGAATTTAGTTACTCTTAGCTATCTCAACACAAACATTTATATTAAAGAAACGAGTTTCTTGCTCAAGAAACCCGTTCCTTGAGCAAGAAACCAGTTTTCTTGAATAGATCGTGTCTTGCTCAAGAAACTCGTTTCTTGTGAAGAAACCAATTTCTTGTCAAGAAACTTGTTTCTTGGCAAGAAACCAGTTTCTTGGCAAGAAACATTTTTTTGCTCAAGAAACCAGTTTTATGAGATGAACGAAAATTTAAGTGAAGTGTGTGAAGTCCCAAAAAATTTAAGATGATATGTCAACAGGCCGTGTCTTGCTCAAGAAACCCGTTTCTTGTGAAGAAACCAGTTTCTTGTCAGGAAACCCGTTTCTTGGCAAGAAACCAGTTTCTTGGCAAGAAACATGTTTTTTGCTCAAGCAACCTGTTTTATGAGATGAACAAAAATTTAAGTGAAGTGTGTGAAGTCCCAAAAAATTTAAGATGACATGTCAACAGGCCGTGTCTTGCTCAAGAAACCCGTTTCTTGTGAAGAAACTAGTTTCTTGTCAAGAAACTTGTTTCTTGGCAAAAAACCAGTTTCTTGGCAAGAAACATGTTTTTTGCTCAAGAAACTTGTTTTATGAGATGAATGAAAATTGAAGTGAAGTGTGTGAAGTCCCAAAAATTTAAGATGACATGTCAACAGGCCGTGTCTTGCTCAAGAAACTCGTTTCTTGTGAAGAAACCAGTTTATTGTCAAGAAACCTGTTTCTTGGTAAGAAACCTGTTTTTCGCTCAAGAAACCAGTTTCTTGGCAAGAAACCAGTTTCTTGGCAAGAAACCTATTTTTCGCTCAAGAAAACCTGTCTTTTGCTCAAGAAACCTGTTTTTTGAGATGAATGAAAATTGAAGTGAAGTGTGTGAAGTCCCAAAAAATTTAAGATGACATGTCAACAGGTCGTGTCATGCTCAAGAAACCCGTTTCTTTTGAAGAAACTAGTTTCTTGTCAAGAAACTTGTTTCTTGGCAAGAAACCAGTTTCTTGGCAAGAAACTTGTTTTTTGCTCAGGAAACTTGTTTTATGAGATGAATGAAAATTGAAGTGAAGTGTGTGAAGTCCCAAAAAATTTAAGATGACATGTCAACAGGCCGTATCTTGCTCAAGAAACCCGTTTCTTGTGAAGAAACCAGTTTATTGTCAAGAAACCTGTTTCTTGGTAAGAAACCTGTTTTTCGCTCAAGAAAACAGTTTCTTGGCAAGAAACCAGTTTCTTGGCAAGAAACCAGTTTCTTGGCAAGAAACCTGTTTTTCGCTCAAGAAAACATGTCTTTTGCTCAAGAAACCTGTTTTTTGAGATGAATGAAAATTGAAGTGAAGTGTGTGAAGTCCCAAAAAATTTAAGATGACATGTCAACAAGTTGTGTCTTGCTCAATTTCTTGTCAAGAAACCCGTTTCTTATGAAGAAACTAGTTTCTTGTCAAGAAACCAGTTTCTTGGCAAGAAACCAGTTTCTTGGCAAGAAACATGTTTTTTGCTCAAGAAACATGGCGCAAATTTCGAAACCTGTTACGACAATCCCCTAACCCTAGATAGAGGATTTAGTTACTCATAGTGATCTCAACACAAACATTCATATTAAAAAAAAGCCATGACATTCATTAATAAAACGAAAATAGAAGCTTACGATTAATACGAAGGTTCAAAGTCAAAATCTGAGTGCAAAACGAATCTGAAAATAACAATCAGAAAAATATGTTCTGGAGTTCAAAAGTGCGAACAACATTCATAACCTAGGATAGAACATAATGAAAACGTGCGAACAAGTTGTTAGGTTGTCAGGTTTTGTGTCTGCTTTTGTTTCTTCATATGGGCGTCCGGTTAGACTTGAACTCTCAGCATTCTCAGATATCCCACCAAACTCCTGATATTATCCTATTAATACAAGGGCCAATGAGACGCGCTCTAAGAAATCAGGAGTCTCCACATGAAAAGTGAACAATAGAGAAATCTAATTAATCAGGATTAGTAGAAATCTAATTAAACAGAGGGCTTTGTAAGTTGATCTTCTTCCAAGTCCATGTCATTGGCACTGTAACACAAGGAACAAATTATTTTGGCAATTAAAGGCTCTCAGTGAAGCGAGTAAAAGTTTTGAACAGACTATACAAGCTTCTACATACATTGTAAGGGCTGCAAGGCCAAATTCCTTGCCCAAAGCCATATATTTCATTCCTTCAATATCATGCAATCTAAAGTTGACTTATCAAGCTCCAGCAACATGATAAGTGTATAATAAGTATTCATGTGTATTTAGTAGAGCATGGAGAATGGCTCAGAATTCAAATACATTTGGGATTCAAATATTTTCATCAAATTTTCTTTTTCTCTCAGAGCAGCAGTAAGAGCTTGCTAAAAGAGGTTCCCCGCCTTGGAGATTAACTATATTTATCAGCTAACCTCATCATATAAATTTATATGATGTATAAAGTCAATTTTTCTGAACCTCTCAACTATATTCATCAACTAACTTCAATGATATAAAATAATCTGACCAGTAAAGTCTTCATATAACCAAAACCGAGAGCAAACACTCCAAATAATCATTTAACGTCCACATGAACTCAGTTGTTACGTTCTTTCGCGCTCACCCAAATATTTTCGGCAGGGAGACTCACCTCCATATTAGCTGAAGCTATCATCAGCATCCCACCCTAATCCTCTGTCAGAAATCTCTCGCCACCAGCCATCTTCTCTCATCCTCAGCAAAACCCTATCCACAAACAGATGAACAGTTACAGTTTCACCCAAAAAAATGTGATTCACCTCAACAAGAAGATTAATAATTCACAATTTACATTTTAACTGATGCGTTTGAAAACATTTTAAATGATATTCTTGTTTTTCACTTTTGACCGTGAGCATGAGGCGCCGAAACTTTCTATTGCTGATATAATAGCTAAGAATATTTTGTCTTCAGATTTGTAGTAGTCACAGATGGACAACATAGTTGAATCCTCAAAAAACGCATATCAGGAGTTCCTATTGGCAGCCGCCAGAACCTTAGAGGCAAAATAAACTTCCGGTGGCCAGAAGACTCCGGAAAACTACAAAAGTAAGAGTAAAAAAGCACAACTTTCATTAATCTGCAAATTATCATACAAAGGACACTGTTACAAGCTTACATGACCGATGTCATCTTTTCCAACAGAACCAAATTTGCCACGATTTTGGCTCCGAATTCACCACCATCCTAACGAACTTCGATTGTTTAGGCCAGAAAAATTTGTATCCTTACTATTGTTCAGCCTAAGAAAAAGGAGTGGATTTGATATTCGCAAAAGCTAAATGCAAATTAATTTTAACTACATTGCAGTGAAGAGCCTCGCACATTCTTCTGGGATAAAGCAAAACCTGAGAGTTGGATGAAAAAAATCTATAGAAATCAGATGTTGATACTGGAACCAAGCAGGCATACGCATAGCATCTGCACTGCATTGAAAATTTTCAACTGGGTCAGTTGGTCGAGGTCCAGGTCAAACGCATCCCCACCACCCATATAAAACAACGATCCATCATCCTTATTGGTCACAAAGGCATGAGATCACAACTCATTTGACAAACAATGAGGTAATATTTTGTCTTGTTAACCATTTGGAAATCAAAATCAAAGACAAAGGGTTATCAAAGCAGCAAGTAGAAGCAAACTATTCATATTTTAATACATATTTCATCAACAATTAGGAACAAATCCTAACCTGAAAAAGACTTTATTGTCCCATTCAAAGGACCAAGTAATCGAACCTTGAGTACAGAGGCATAGTTCTGTCTTTTCAAGGTCCAAGCTGAACAGAAATAAACAATTGCACAAATATTATAATAAGGACAGTGATTTATTTATGACTGAAACCGAGCAAGAGTATGAAGTGTGTGTGTGTGTGTGTATATATATATATATATATATATATATATAACATTAAGAGCAAAATGTCAAAAGCTAGAATATGGCAAACGCACTAACAAAATTTCAGGTTTCTTTGCTTTCCGACGGAGTAGAAGAAAAGTAGCCTCTAGCACACCCATTCGAATTTAACAATGTAAGTAAACTAAAGTGAATTCATTTTTTAACAATGTAAGCAAACTAAAGTAGATTCATTTTAAACGCTAATCCGGATCAAAAGTTACATAGGAATAAAAACATTATTGCACTTCCTAAGGGGAAGTTAAATCCAACTTTCATAATCACCACAGAAAGCAGTTCATCCTCAGAGAACTCAGAATGAGTTTGAACCTGCAACAGATTCAATTATCTACACTAAAATGCAACAGCATTATTATATTGTGTAAACTAGTGGATCACCGAAATAGAAAGAAATACCTTGTTGCTTCTTATAATAATCCGATTTGGTACGTATATTAGCCCCCAAAAAAATTTAAAATAATACCTCAATTTAACCATACATATTTCAAATGAAAAAATCTCCTCCATTGAACTCAAAATGCACATTTTAACTAAAAAAAAAAACCTAAAAATCGCCTAAATAACACACACAAAAAAATACAAAAAGCACCTTCAATCGACGAAGAAGAACTCAAAATACACATTTTAACTAAAAAAAACCCTAAATATCGCCTAAAAAACACAAAAAA